CACCTCACACGCTCACACCACCACATCAAAGTCATCAGTCATTGAACAACATTAATACAGTTCAATCAGAACCTAACATTAACAAAAGTAAACAGTCCTGGAATATTAATTTAAAAGTAGGTAATTTAAAATTTAATTGCATCATAGATTCAGGAGCTGATTTAAACATTATGTCGAAGCAAACTTTTAATTATTTAAAACATAAGCTTAAACAGTTGTCAATTGTCAAAAGTCATATAAATGTCACAGGATTTAGTGGCAAATCAATACCCATTATGGGAAAGGTCAATATTAAATGTAATTTAATATTAAATAATAACAATGTCAGTGAGAACATAGTGTTCATAGTCGCAAATTTAGAGTGTCCCAATGTCTTAGGTCTTCCTACATGTGAAAGGTTAGGAATAATTAAAAGAGTTTTTTCAGTGTCTAAACAAAATTTTTGTCAACAAATTCTAACAAAATACAATGATGTCTTCCAGGGTCTTGGCTGTCTACCTCCTGTCTGTCACCTGAAACTCAAACCTGATGCAGTACCATGTGTGGATCCTCCCAGGAGAGTACCATTTGCGTTACTTGGAAAGCTACGCGAGGAGTTGGATCGCATGGAGAGCATGAAAGTCATAGAAAAAGTCACTAAGCCTACAGAGTGGGTGAATAGTATAGTTATAACTGTAAAAAGTTCAGGTCAGTTACGAATTTGTTTAGATCCTAGAAATTTAAATAAAAATATCATAAGGGAAATATATCCACTTAAGTCAATTGATGAGATAAGATCTCAACTAGTTGGAGCTGTCTGTTTTTCTCATTTAGATGCATTTTCGGGTTTTTGGATGTTAAAATTAGATGAATATAGTTCTAAATTATGTACTTTTCAAACACCATTTGGTAGATATAAATATTTAAGGTTACCTTTTGGAATAAATGCATCATCAGAAATATTTCAAAGAGTTATGATGAATTTGTTTGGTGATTTGGAAGGAGTCTTAATATTCATTGATGACATTCTAGTCTATGGCCCAAATGAGTCTGTTCATAATGAGAGATTACATAAAGTCATGCAAAGAGCACGTCAAGTTAATTTAAAATTTAACAAATCTAAATGTAAATTTCTAGTGTCTGAAGTCTGTTTCCTAGGTTATATCTTTAATAAAGATGGTGCAAGGGTTGACCAAGAGAAAGTTAAAGCAATTGTCAATATGCCTACACCAAAAAATGTCAAAGAATTACAAAGAATATTAGGTATGATCAATTATTTAGGTCCCTTTATTAGTAATTTGTCAGAAAAAACTCAAATTTTAAGAAATCTTTTGAAAAAGGATTCTGTCTGGTCTTGGGATGAGAATCACAATAAATGTCTTAAGGGTTTAATAGATGAAATCACAAAGTCACCTGTCTTAGCTCACTATAACCCCAACATTCCATTAGTCTTGTCAGTAGATTCGTCTAAATCAGCATTGGGAGCAGTCATTTTACAAAATAATAAACCCATTGCTTATAGTTCTAAAACTTTAACCACAACCCAGTCAAGGTATGCTCAAATAGAGAAAGAATTGCTTGCAATTCAATTTGGTTGTGAAAAATTTCACCAGTATGTATATGGTCACAGAGTTGCAGTTCACACAGATCACAAACCTTTAGTCTACCTGTTTGATAAACCATTACATGATGTACCAGCTAGGTTACAGCGAATGATGTTAACTTTGCAAAAGTATGATTTGAAAGTTATACATGTCCCAGGTAAACAAATGTTCATATCTGATACTTTGTCGAGAGCAGCCTTAAAAGATCATTATATTCCAGAGAATGAGTCTGAAATAACCTGTCATGTCAATTTAATGCATTCAAATTTAGCAATTACTAAGGATTACAGTACAAAATTGTCACAACAAACTAATAAAGATGAAAGTTTGCAATTGTTAAAGAAATATTATTATGAAGGATGGCCAAAAAGTAAAAACAAAGTTAGTCAATTAGTGAAACCATATTGGAATGTACAAGCTGAAATACATGTAGTTAAGGATTTGTTATTTAAAGGATCAAAATTAATAGTACCACAGTCTATGTATAAAGAAATGTTGGATAAAATTCATGAAGGTCACCAAGGAATAAATAAATGTCTTAAATTAGCTAGAGATTCTTTATATTGGCCAAACATGTCAGTTGATATTAAAAATTTAGTAGAACAATGTCTTATATGTGCAAAATTTAAACCTGCTAACCAAAAAGAGCCATTACAAAATTTTGAAATTAACAAATATCCATGGCAACAAGTTGGTATTGATTTAATGTACTTTGATGGTCTTTCTTATTTAATTGTTACAGATTACTATTCTAAATACATAGAAATAGCTTTGTTAAATAAGAATAGTACAGCCAAAAATGTAATTACACATTTAAAGTCGATTTTTGCCCGTCATGGTATACCTTTGTCATTAGTGTCTGACGGTGGACCTCCTTTCCAATCTTTAGAATTTAAAAATTTCTTACATGAATGGGACATAGAACATGTTGTTACTAGTCCATATCATGCACAGTCTAATGGTCAAGCTGAAAGTTCAGTTAAAATTGTCAAAAATATGTTGAAAAAATGTAAAGAAAATTCGTCTGATCCTTATATAGCTTTGTTGCAATATAGAAACACACCTAAGAATAATTTACCGTCCCCAGCTCAACTCTTAATGTCTAGGAATTTAAGAGACAATGTCCCTAAGTCGTATAAGAAATTAAAACCAAAGGTAGTAACATTTAAAGATTACAAAGAATGTGTAACTAAGAATAATGATTGTAAGTCTAAATATTATAATAGAAGTGCTAAGCCTTTACCATTGTTATATCCCAATGATCATGTCTACTTCAAAAGACAACCTAGTTGTAATTGGGAACAGGCTATTGTCAAGCAAAGGCTAGCAAATAATAGGTCATATGTCGTTGAGGATGTCAATGGAGTTAGGTATAGGAGAAATAGGATTCACTTAAGGCATAAGTTCTCTCCTATGCTATCCAACTCATCGTCGTCGTCGTCTTTGTCATCGCAAGGGAGAGAGGATGGTGACAGTCAGAAGGCTGGACCTCAAGAACTCTCATCTCGATCCTCAAGTAGTCAATTTGTTACACGTTCAGGTCGTATTGTAAAGCCCACAAGAAGGCTAATAGAAGAAATAGATTAAGATAAGAAATATATTTTGTAATCTTATATGTTGTAAATTAAGTACCTAGTCAAGTTATATAAGTATAAGTCGTTTATAATATTGTCAAGTTGTCATAGTGATAAGTCTGTTTTGTAAAGGGTTAATTTAAACTTAACAAGGGGGATGTTGTATTGTCTATGATTAGTATTACTAATCAGTGTTGCACTATTATTGTCTATGTCGTCATATCACTATAAAGAGGGTGGCCGAGCAAGTGTCGGCCATTGACAATGTAACTCTGGTGCAGTGAGCTGCAGGACTGTGTAACGTATAAATAAAGTCAAGTATCCAAGATCCAAGTCTTTCAATCATATTACATACATAACGCTACGTTTATACTAAAATTCTTTCTTTCTTATAAACTTTTCTTCACAATTGAATACTCTCCTGTTTGTGCTGTTTAAAACATCCTATGTGTTGACGACTGAACTTTCAGATCGGTTGCCTAAGAGCCATCTTTATTAATGTCCAATTTAAGACTATATTAATATTTTTAAAAATTGTCGAAAGAAAATTGAAACATACAAAATGTTGACTGGACATTACAATCTAAAGGACTTCGATCAGCTGTTCACACGCAACGAAAACACCCACCTTAGAGGCCATCACTTAAAACTTAGCACTAACAGATCACATAACAATCCTCACAGACACTTTCTCAGTAATAGAGTAGTTGCAGCGTGGAACAAGCTCCCGGAAAATGTGGTTTCAGCCCTAAATTTGAACCAATTTAAAAATCGACTGGATAAATATTTACTCAACTGCAAGAAATGAACTAGTGGAAATTAACAGGATGCGGGCATTATCAGTTGTTTCAACTGCCTGCTTGTCTATAAATAATAAATAATAATAAAAAGAAAATTAAGTCAAAGAATCTACCGCAGACCGAGCTCAGAGCAGAAAGAACGGTGGGTTTTTAGTCAGTAAGAGTCTGACACTCTCATTTTACCAAGAACAGGAGAAGTCATTTTTTTATCAGCCGTTATCGTCCCACTGCAGGGCAAACTACCCTTCTTCCACTCCTCTCTACACAAAGCTTTCTGCGGCCAATCCTCGTCGAAAACATCAATTTCGTCCCGCCACCTCCTTCTGGGCCTGCTTCAGTGTCTGTTAGCGTTGTGTGGCCTCCAATCGGTAATAAATTTTGCCCACCGCTCGTCTGACATGCAGCAAGAAGTCATTTGAAATTTTTATTTTTTTGTAACCTTTTCCAACACGGACAAAATGGACGATCGTCGAAGGGCCCGAAAAGTGCTAGAGTGGCGACAAAGGACCGGAAAACGTAGTGACAGGCCTCCCGCTAGGTGGACCGACGACATCGTCAGAGTCGCGGGGAGCCAATGGATGCAGGTGGCAACTTGTCGTTCGACGTGGAGGGCTAAGGGGGAGGCCTTTGTCCAGCAGTGGACGTCTTCCGGCTGATGATGATGATGATGATGATGATGATGATGTCCAACACTGGGACTTTGTCAAACTTACAATTTCACCCGGAACAACACCTTGTGGATCACACAAAGAGTTGTTCCGTACGGGAATCGAAGCGCCGCAGCCAATTGCCCAGCCACTAGCGCCAACCGTGCAGTCAAACGTCTGAAAAAAATCAAACTTAATCAACGAAAAAAATCACAAAGAAACCCGACTAACAAAACAAGTCTCACACACATATCACGCGACGATAAACATCAGTGAATGGAAGACCGGTGAATGAGTGAATGAGAACTAGTTTTGAACGAATGAATGCGGGGCGTTTCAAAGCCCTTTTAGATGAGAAGGCCCATGAAAGGGTTTCTTTGTGGAGCGTAGTTTTACATGGAGAATACAGGTTAGATATACCATCGGATCTTATAAAGGTATGAAAACATTATCTATTTATCTATACTAATATTATAAAGAGGTAAATGTGTAGAGGTAATGTCGTGGTGGCCTAGAGGTTAAGGAGCCCGCTTCTCATGCATGAGGGCACGGGATCGAAACCTGGCAAGTACCAATGTGACTTTTCCCGAGTTATATGTACTTTCTATGATTATTTAGACACCACTGACATACGGTGAAGGTAACAATCGTGGGGAAACCTGGAAATATAATATCTAATTATAAGTTTGAAATCGCCAATCCGCCTTGAGCTAGCGTGGTGATTAATCCTCTAAACCTTCTCCGTGTGAGAAGAGGCCTTTGCTTAGCAGTGGGCACTTATGGGCTGATGATAAAAATTTCTAAGTTTGTATGTAGGGGGTAATCTTTGGAACCGCTCTGGTCGGATTGCCGAAATTCTTTTACTGATAGATAGTTACAATGTTCCTGAGTGCTGTAAGCTATATAAATTATATTTGATTTTAGTATTTTATTTAGTCAAGCTATCGCTTTAAACGCTGTTCTTTTTTAACTCCTGGGATGTAATACTTTGTAATACGCGTGAGAAGCCACGGGCGGAAGCTAGTCTATACTAATATAATAAATGCGAAAGTAACTCTGTCTGTCTGTCTGTATTTTCTTCACGCCTAAACTACTGAACCTATTTCTGTGAAATTTGGTACAGACATAGTTTTGTGTTGGAACTCGAGAAAGGACATAGGATAGTTTTTATAAAAAAAATCAGCAGGTAGTCACTATTCCACGCGAACGGATTCGCAGGCAAAAGCTAATCTATACTAATATTATAAAGAGGTAAAATTTGTAAGTTTGTATGTAGGGGGTAATCTTTGGAACCGCTGGTCGGATTGCCAAAATTCTTTCACTGATAGATAGTTGCAATGTTCCTGAGTGCTATAGGCTATAAAACATCACGCTACGATCAAATGGAGCCGAGCAGCGAGTGAAACGGAGAGTAGTTAGTTTACTAGAAATGAAACAAAAAGCTTACTATACCTATAAATAAGTATTAGAGAAAATATAACAATTTCAGGGCTCAATAAATTGAATATTATTCCGTTCTCGTACTGAAACTGAAAGATTTATTTCTGAATAAATATGCTGTAAGTCTCAGTTAGATTTGATTTACGTGATTATTTTCGTTCTTGGTAGGGCTGTGAGAGTTTATGAAAATTAATTGCTTAACTAATTTATATAGTATACTTATACAATGCCACTTTTCGTTAAAATGTTATAACTTAACAATGCCTTTACCGATTTCGCTAATTTTAGTATTGAATTATCAATTCGTTGAAATTCAAATAAGGTTTGCACGTAGAGAAAATAAAAAAGAGGTTACCGGAGGCCCAATTCTTCCCCTCACCCAATCCCTAAATCTCCAAATCCCTAATCCCTAACTCCTCTGTTATTGCGGGTGTCAATGGGCGGCGCTGATTGCTTACCATCAGGTAATCAGTGTGCTCTTTTGCCGACCTATTACATAAAAAACAAGAGATATTACGAGTACGTTGCCGGGTCTTCGGGGATTGGGATTTCGGAGATTTAGGGATTGAGAGGGGATGGGGGTAGAGTGGTGATTTGATAAATGTTTGAGACGCAGTTCTGGCCACAGATTATCACATTCTTTTGCTTTTTTACAATAGTTAATACAAGATCACCACATGTGAACATTAGCTCATGACGATACCTAAGTACGTGTGTCGCCTGGACAGTCAACCTCGCTACATCCTTGTTGACTGGACATCTACACTACATGAGCTGCTGTTTACATGTGAACATTAGCTCATGACGATACCTAAGTACGTGTGTCGCCTGGACAGTCAACCTCGCTACATCCTTGTTGACTGGACATCTACACTACATGAGCTGCTGTTTACATGTGAACATTAGCTCATGACGATACCTAAGTACGTGTGTCGCCTGGACAGTCAACCTCGCTACATGCTTGTTGACTGGACATCTACACTACATGGGCTGCTGTTTACATGTGAACATTAGCTCATGACGATACCTAAGTACGTGTGTCGCCTGGACAGTCAACCTCGCTACATCCTTGTTGACTGGACATCTACACTACATGAGCTGCTGTTTACATGTGAACATTAGCTCATGACGATACCTAAGTACGTGTGTCGCCTGGACAGTCAACCTCGCTACATGCTTGTTGACTGGACATCTACACAAAATGGGCTGCTGTTTACATGTGAACATTAGCTCATGACGATACCTAAGTACGTGTGTCGCCTGGACAGTCAACCTCGCTACATGCTTGTTGACTGAACATCTACACTACATGGGCTGCTGTTTACATGTGAACATTAGCTCATGACGATACCTAAGTACGTGTGTCGCCTGGACAGTCAACCTCGCTACATTCTTGTTGACTGGACATCTACACTACATGAGCTGCTGTTTACATGTGAACATTAGCTCATGACGATACCTAAGTACGTGTGTCGCCTGGACAGTCAACCTCGCTACATCCTTGTTGACTGGAGATCTACACTACATGAGCTGCTGTTTACATGTGAACATTAGCTCATGACGATACCTAAGTACGTGTGTCGCCTGGACAGTCAACCTCGCTACATCCTTGTTGACTGGAGATCTACACTACATGAGCTGCTGTTTACATGTGAACATTAGCTCATGACGATACCTAAGTACGTGTGTCGCCTGGACAGTCAACCTCGCTACATCCTTGTTGACTGGAGATCTACACTACATGAGCTGCTGTTTACATGTGAACATTAGCTCATGACGATACCTAAGTACGTGTGTCGCCTGGACAGTCAACCTCGCTACATCCTTGTTGACTGGACATCTACACTACATGAGCTGCTGTTTACATGTGAACATTAGCTCATGACGATACCTAAGTACGTGTGTCGCCTGGACAGTCAACCTCGCTACATCCTTGTTGACTGGACATCTACACTACATGAGCTGCTGTTTACATGTGAACATTACCTCATGACGATACCTAAGTACGTGTATCGCCTGGACAGTCAACCTCGCTACATCCTTGTTGACTGGACATCTACACTACATGAACTGCTGTTTACATGTGAACATTAGCTCATGACGATACCTAAGTACGTGTGTCGCCTGGACAGTCCACGCTACCATCAGTTGACTGGACAATAGACTACACTGCTTACATGTGAACAATAGACTAGGTTATTTACGTCAATCATTTAGGCTACCTAAATAGAGTTTCGTTCTAAAGTTGGAGAGGGCGCCACTTGTCACTCATGCTTTTTGAAACGTTTCAAAAGAGTGACGCCTTTGTTTTGCCCTGTTGTTTAGACTGTTGTTGTAATATGAAGCCTACATTTTTGTTATAAAGTCGTAAGTCGTTTGAGGCAAAATTACGAAATAGTATAGGTTGATATGCGTGTCCGTGTGTGTCAATAAAGTCTTGTTTGTATTAATCGTGTGAAGAATAAAAGAAGGGAATTTGAAAACGTTTTTTATTTAAAATTAAATACTTAATGTGACATTTTTGTCCCATTGGCGGTGGTACGGGCACTGGACCGCTCGGTTCCCTATAATATGGTTGAGTTGGGCGGTGCTGGTGTACGTGTCGTGTTCGTGAATGGACGCCGCCTATTGGGACTGGTCAACTCGAGACTGTCTAAAGTCGCTGTTCCTGAGATTCATTTCTTTTTCGGATCCTTTGGCTAAAAACTTAGTGTTACACTGTTTTCACATAATGGAACTACCTAATTATGTAACAATGCATTGTAAAAACTGATTGAAAAAGAGTAACCATGGAGTTTCTTGCTCGTTCTTCTCCATAGGAATCTACACTTTGGAACGAGCAAATAGCTTCACTAGAGGACAGACGGACAGACTGACATATAAAGTTAAACCGTATGATATCTTTTTTGCTTGACGTTCAAAAATGCCTTTTGTGGTCTACTTGAAATAAAGAATTTGATTTGATTTGATTTCTCTCGCCCAGAGTGAAGTGAGAGGGGGTGTCACACACCCGCAGCACCAAAGGAGTAACGAGTGCGTTGTCGGCCTTTTATAGGGATAAAGGTTTCGGATAAAAAAGGATTGAGAAGGTATGGGGGAGGGGTTGGGCCTCCGGTAACCTCACTCACACGGCTATACACAACGCTGTGGGTTGTTTCACGCCAGTATTCTGTGAGGCCGTGGTATCACTCCGGTCGAGCCGACCCATTCGTGCCGAAGCATGGCACTCTCTCACTTGGTTCTTCTGCTGCAGGCTGAGGCCATGGTACCTTATTGCGCTTACCCGGCAACAGAAACTAGTATACATAGTACTGTTTTCTTCTTTCAACACTCATTTTTTGGTTATCAAAAGCCGTTTTTCCAACATTTCAGATTATAATTATGATAATCGAAGCGTTCCAATTTCCTGATAGAATCACAAAATTGACAATATTAAATGTTAAGATACGGCTTATCTATACTCTCTATACTAATATTATAAAGAGTAAGTTTGTATGTAGGGGGGTAATCTTTGGAACCGCTGGTCGGATTGCCAAAATTCTTTCACTGATAGATAGCTACAATGTTCCTGAGTGCTATAGGCTATAAAACATCACGCTACGATGAAATAGAGCAGCGAGTAAACCGATAGTAGCTATTTTTTGATATTTTTTTGGCAGTGGTTGAATGAAAAGACCTGAACATCGAGGTCAATGGCGTGCAATTGGAGAAGCCCGTGGTCAAAATCAGGGTGATGATGAATCACAATTCAGTTATCTATGAGCCCGTGACATCACTCCGGTCTACTGAAGAAGGTCTTCTACAATTTCTAAAAGACCATCTTTTTTGTCCGCAGAAGAAGAATGCGAGGAGTCTATCTTCCCGACTGGGGTGGTGCGCCATCGTCCAGAACCACCCGGCACCCTGGCACAGTCTACCAGGTTCACAGCACATGAGATCAAGCTGATGTACCGAGGGTTCAAACAGGTGAGAAACTGTCATCAGCTGCTGGCTCAACTCCTGGAGTAAGTGGTCTCCTGCAAGAGACGCAAGGGTCTTCACATTCATGCCATTAAAACTATCGAATTCTCGAATCACTCAAAAGACTGGTCTTTTTATGTGATAGGACGGTGAACTAGCAGGATTACCTGATGGTAAGCAACACAGGGGAGTTATCAGTGCGTTGCCGACCGTTTAGGGATAAGGGATCTGGAGATTTTGGAAGGGATTAGAGGAGGATTAGAGGAGATTGGGCTTCCATTAACCACTCACACGGCGTAACACAACGCTGTGGTTGTTACACGCCGGTTTTCTAGAAGGCTGTCTCCGATCGAGCAGACACATTTGTGCCGAAGCATAGCTCTCCAAAACTGGTAAGAAATTGGTGGGCTAATTGCTTACCATCAGGTCTTCTTTATCGTTTGCTTTTAAGCTCATGTAAGCTCATGACTGTTGCCAAAGACTCGAGATATATTGGAGTATGTGCCTCCTCTATTTAAGAGGGGTTTGCCACCATCTCTGCGGACTGGGGTGTTGGAGAAAAAGAAGTTGCAGCGGTTTAGGAAGGTTGTGACCGGCTTGTCCCATTATAAAAAAGGCGGAAGATGTCTTCTTCTGAACAAAGGTCTTCCCCTTAGTCCCTCCCTTTGGCTGCCCGTGACTCTGACGATGTCGTCGGTCCACCTAGCGGAAGGCCTGCCCAAGCTTAGTTTTCTGGAGAACAATATGTTTGCAACTAACTTGTGAATCTTCTTTCAGGAATGTCCATCAGGTGTGGTGGATGAGGAAGCCTTCAAGAATATATTCTGCCAATTCTTTCCTTTAGGAGGTAAGTAGTATTTTTTTATGTGATTGGTCGGTAAACGAGCAGACGACTCATGGAGACCTGCAACAACATAGGAGTTACGAGTGCGTTGCCGACCTCTTAGAGATTATGGATTAGGAGATTTAGGGATTAGGGGTAGGGAAGGATTGAAGGAAGAAAACCTCGCTCACACGGCGCCACGCCGGTTTTCAGTGAGGTCATAGTATCATTCTGGTCGAGTGGACCCATTCCAACACCTGTCTCTCCCAAGCTTGTAAAATAATTCTTAAAAACTTTAAGATTTAGGAGATTACTCTCAATCATACCCAGACACTATTTTTTTTTCTGTTATTTAAAGTAGCCTTTGTTTCTCCCTGAAAAGTATAAGTAAACTTAGTATTTTTGGAGCGTAATCAATGCACACAAACAAGTTAGTCGGCAAAGGAGCTGACGGATTACCTGATGGTAAGCAATCAACGCCGCTCATGGAGACCTGCCACAACAGAAGATTTACGAGTGCGGGATTTGAGGGATTATGGAATCGGAGAATTAAGGATTTGGGAATGATTGGGGAGGAGTAGTATTGGACCTCCGGTATTCCTCTTAGTAATTTTCTTTGTAAATACGGATGGATGTTTGTTACTCTCTCACGTAAACACTACTGAACGGATCTGAATGTAATTTGGCACAGAGATAGATTATAGTCTGGAATAACATATAGGATACACTTTACCCTTAAAACTAGTTTATTAACTTAACTTTTTTTTACATTTCAGATGCAACGCAATACGCTCATTATGTCTTCAAAACTATTAAACATAAACAGAGCGGGAAAGTCAATTTTGAGGTGAGTTTTTTCTTCAAAAATTAGTAGTATTTGTAGTACGAAACCTGGCTTAGTGTGGGAGAGCCATGCTTCGGCACCGCTGTGTTGGCTCGATGGCTCACTCAGACGGCGAAAAAGCTGTGGTTGTTTCACGCCGGTTTTCTGTGAGGACGTAGTATCACCCTGGTCACACGGAAGCATGACTCTCTCACACTTATGCTTCATGTCACATTGATGCCACAATTCCTACATCATACAAGAAAGGTGAGAGCGTGATTAAATACACATAGACTTATATACTTTCGAGTGCACGGTCGGTGCGGTGGCTGGGCAACTGGCTGCCGTGCAACGTGTCGCGGGTTCAATTCCCGCATGGAACAACTCTTTGTGTGAGTTACAAATTGTTGTTCCGGGTCTGGGTGTCATGAGCATGTGAAATTGTATGTTTGTAACCGCACCCACGACACAGGAGAAACTAGTAACTTCTCCCAACGTTTCCCTTCACTGCTCTGCTCCTATTATTTGTAGCTTAATGAAAAGTATCCTATAACCTGCCCAGAAGTATAAAGAATAATTGTTCAAAGTTTTGTTAAAATCCGTCGAGTAGTTTTTATTTCTATAAGAAACATACAGACAGACAGACAGACAGACAAAAATTTAACTGATTGCATTTTTGGCATCAGTATCGATCACTTATCAACCCCTGGTAGTTATTTTGAAAATATATTTAATGTACAGAATTGGCCTCTCTACAGATTTATTATAAGTATAGATTATAAGTCCAGGTTTCCTCGCGTTTCCAGGCCCGAGCGTACGGCGCGTAGCGTTCCGCGCGCGCCTCAAAGAGCCAATAGACCACCACAGACGGGGCCCTAAAGGGCTGATGTTCAGCCGGGGTTGCGGGGTAAGCGCAATAAGGTACCGCGACCTCGGCACAGAGCAGGAGAAGGAACAGGGGGGTTTTTAGTCAGTAAGAGTCTGACACTCCCTCCTGCCCGGCCCTGGGCGGGAGAAGTCATTTGATGATTTTCCCCTCACAAAAAAAAAATCAGTGGTGTCTAAATAATCATAGAAAGTATATATAACTAGGAAAAAGTCACATTGGTACTTGCCAGGTTTTGGGCATTAGCGCCATCTGGCGACTGCTAGTTATTAACTAAAATACACCCAAACCTGTTCAAATGGTTGATTTCATTGTCCTAAAACAAAAGCCTACAACAGAGGTCAAGTTATAATAGTCATTATCAAATATTAATATTACCCAGTATATATTGAACTCCAGTTAATTTAACTTCGGTTCATTATAACTGTTTTGTTATTTTAACGTAATGGGTTAAATTTACAATGGTTTATGAGTGTGTGAGAGCGAAGCTTCGACACGAATGGGTCGGCTCGACCGGAGTGATACCACGGCCTCAAAGAAAACCGGCGTGAAACAACCACAGCGTTGTGTTTCGCCGTGTGAATGAGATTACCCGAGGCTCAATCCTTTCCCTCCCCCAATCCCAAAATTTCAAAATCCCTAATCCCCAAAAGGGCAGGCACTCGTAACTCCTCTATTGTTGCGGGTGTCCATGGGCGGCGCTGATTGCTTACCATCAGGTAATCCGTCTGCTCGTTTGCGATCATAAATTAATCGCATCAAAATTCGTTGCGTAGTTTTAAAGATTTAAGCATACATAGGGATATAGGGACAGAGAAAGCGACTTTGTTTTATACTATGATTTTTAAAATCGAAAACTTAAGCACGCACATAAAACTACCCTAAATTAACAAAACTCTTAATTGATTGTCAACTCTAAATCTTAAGAATTAAGGTCAGAAATCTCTTTGATAGATAAGGGCAGCTTGACGTTCCTTCTTTATTAAAATAAGGTAAATAAAATTAAATATTAATCAATTTTTACTCTGTGGTAAAGGTTTTTTTTCTATAAATATTAATTTTTATGCAAAATATCTCTAAAGAAGGGACTATATCGAACCATTTCCTTCAGAATCGTATTTCATACATATTTTAATAAGCTTATATTTTTACGACTCCAACCAAATCTCTAAATTATGGTCAAACCTTAATCCAAAGAAATTTCGTCTTTATTCCTTAAATTGTAAGGTGAAATTTCCTTTAACGTTAAAATTCAAATTCAATACACAACCAGAATTGATATACAATCGAGTTTTATCTTTATTGTGTTCGTATTAAAATTGAGTTTCCCATTTCATTTGTTTGGCAGTTTTGACAGTGCTGTGGCGCGAAAATTTTGGAGTGGTTTTTTTTTACATAGAATATTTTTGTTTTTGGGTAAGACAGTTTTTAGCATGATGGTTGTTTCTAAGAAATGTTTATTTTATTTTGTTTTTAAAAGATAAATATACCTTGACTGAAGATAATGTAATAGACACAATTTCATTAAGTATTGTTTTCTCAAATATCTCCCTTTTTTGTGAGGGGGAAATCATCAAATGACTTCCTCCCGCCCGACCCTGGGCGGGAGGGAGTGTCAGACTCTTACTGACTAAAAACCCCCCCGTTCCTTCTCCTGCTCTGTGCCGAGGTCGCGGTGCCTCATTGCGCTTACCCTGCAACCGGCTGATATCATAATACTTAGCGGGCTTATTTTTTTTTACTTTTAGCTTGAGTACATTTCATTTTCTTATATTAGGTACCTACCAACTCTACTCGATTTGTAATGAAGTGAGAATCGAACCTTAATACTTTATACTAACCAACTAATAAACTAAACTAAAACAATCAGTTTTAACTTCAAATGAATTAGTTTCAACTTGGGTGCCCTTAAATTTTCAAAGGGGAGTTCAGATTACGTTGGTCCTTATACAAAATTTATACAACGAAACCATTTTAACAAGACCTTTCAAAGTTGAAATGTCAAAATATACTGGTTTTAATACGAATTAGTACATGTCTATTATAAGTTGAACTCGAATTGCCCAAAATCTCTATCTAAGGGGTAGTCTAATTATTATTAATAATAGTTTGGGTATAACTAACTTTTCACCCGGGCTTTGTCTGTGTGGTTAAAATAACAAAATGGCCGTCTTTGTTCCCGATCCCAAGTGTGGGTGACCCATGCTTCGGCACGAATGTGTCGGCTCGACCGGATTTATACCAGCGTGAAACAACCACAGCGTTGTGTTTCGCCGTGTGAGTGAGCTTACCGGAGGCCTAAACATTCCCCCAATCCCTAGTCCCGAAAAGGTCGGCAACGCACCCATAACTCCTCTGTTGTTGCGGGTGTCCAAGGGCGGCGCTGATTCCCTACCATCAGGTAATCCGGCAGCTCGTTTGCCGACCTATCATATTTTTAAAAAGCCCTTAATTGAAATAAAAGATTTTGACTTTATACATATGTTATTCCAGACTATAATCTATCTCTGTGCCAAATTACATTCAGATCCGTTCAGTAGTGTTTACGTGAGAGAGTAATAAACATCCATCCGTACTTACACACTTTCGCGTTTATAATATTCTTAAGTCTTGACAACCTTCAATGCTTTCAAAAATTGAATATTACAAATGGTAAATTTAATGTAGTGTAAAATGAAGGTCTGTCTTTAATACAGCTGAAAGGAGATTCTCATTTTGTAAAGAGCATTACTGGAATTAATTTTAGCAAATCTATTGTATATTTATTATATAAAAGAAAGTCGTGTTAGTTTCTCCACTTATAACTCGAGAACGGCTGAACCGATTTAGCTGAAAATTGGCAGGGAGGTAGTTTAGAGCCAGGAGAAGGATATAGGATAGAGTAGGTAGAGTAGGTTAGGTAGAGTAGGGTAGGTAAAAAAGTCAAAAAAGTCAAAAATCATTTATTTCAATTAGACCACAATAGGCACTTTTGAACGTCAAGCAAGCAAAAAATGAAAAAAGTATATAACATGAGCTTTAAAATTAAGCATGTCAGTCTGTCCGTCTGTCCTCTAGTGAAGCTATTTGCTCGTTCCAAAGTGTAGATTCCTATGGAGAAGAACGAGCAAGAAACTCCATGGTTACTCTTTTTCAATCAGTTTTACAATACATTTCTTTGTTACATCATTTAGTTGGTTCTGATATGTGAGAACAATGTAACACTAATGTTCAGGCAAAAGGTACGAAAAAGAAGTGAACCTCAAGGACAACATATTTAGACAGCCTGGAGATGACCAGTCCCAATAGGCGGCGCCCGTTCACGAACATGACACGTACACCAGCACCGCCCAACTCAACCATATTATAGGGAATTGGGCGATCCAGTGGCCGTGCCACCGCCAATGAGACCTCTAAGTGAGCATGACAGCTCCCAGCCGACACAAAGTACCTATATTCTACAAGTCTTACTTAATTATAATAGGTTACAGGGTACTCACATTTACAAAAACTTAGAAGTTCATCAACAATTAACAACATAGTGTACAATTTAATAATTAAAATCAAAAATTCCTCTAAACATCCTGTGGAGTAGGACCAGCTAGCCTCCAAGCATTTTTATCTTGTATATAATCATTTAGTTTGTAGTATGCTAGTTTACATAAATGTTTCTTTATACATAATTTAAATTTGCTTTCATTTAGATTTTGAATTTCAACTGGGATTTTATTATAACATTTAACACAGAAACCCAGAAATGACTTATGCACTTTTGCCAATCTAAATAAAGGCTGACTCAATCTATTCCTATGTCTAGTATGATAATCATGTTTGTCAGATACCTTTACAAATAAGTGTAGGTTTTTTCCTAACATACATAATGTTTTCATAAATAATTGACTCGGTACGGTCAGAATGTTGATCTCCTTAAACTTTTCTCTGAGAGATTCGCGACGACCTAAGTTATATATAGCTCTGACGGCACGCTTTTGCAAGATAAAAATAGACTCAACGTCGGATGCCTGTCCCCACAACAGAATTCCATACGACATGATGCTGTGAAAGTAGCTAAAGTACACTAGTCTTGCCGTGCCTACATCGGTTAGCTGTCGGATCTTCCAGACAGCATAAGCTGCAGAGCTCAATCGCCCTGCTAGAG